CAAATGCCCAAAATACAATCATGAGACTGTTTGTGTGTGTGTGTGTGTGTGTATGCACATACTTGCATGCAGTTTTGAAACTTCAAAAATGGATCATAAATAGCTCTGGAGAGGTACATCATAACTTTGAATAGTTATTAAATGATAAGTCATTAAGTGAAGACTATATATAATCCAACCTGCATTAGAGTCACTAAATATTTCTATATGCAGGTGTTTATTTGCCTACCTTCATAAATGCTCCTGAATAGGAGCATAAATATCAGAGCAGTATAATCTTTTCTACCAGTCTCAAGAAGAGATCTTTCTTTGCTTTGATATGCAGCTGAGCACAAGATATTTTTAGTGTTAAAATAGAAAAAATGCCTATAGAGAATATGATACCTGGAGAGGGGGAGTATCAATGTTAATAATTACAGACATTTTATTAATACCACCACATAGAGAGCCAGAGTCAATATTGATGAATAGACAAAGCATGATGTCTGGATGGGAAGGCATAAGCTTCCAGGTTTAATTCTGTACTATATACTTTAAGATACTACAACCATAGTCCCCGGAGATTACCTTGTAGTGGGAAGCAAAACTTCAGCTTTTGCAGACTCATACAAAAGACCATTCCCATAACTCTTCTCTGATGCAAATGTGGGTTTCTTGCATGTTGCAGATCCAAAAACCAAAAGTCTCCACATTGCCTTTTACTGACTATAGATATTGGCTGGATTGAAAAGACGATTCCTACTTTTTACTTTATTCAGTGACTCAGCCCACTGCGTTGTAACAAAGCTATTTCCATACCCGTCCCACCCTTCTTCACCTCCCCTTTTCCTGGTCTGCTTATATGCTGCACATTTATCTAAGACAGAACTAGATGTTTGAAATACTGTCAATTAGGGGATCCATCTATCACAAATACTCTATGATATTCACCATTCTGCCTTGCATGTGTCCTAGAAATCTGCTCGTTACACAAACTTGACCCAAAGGACCATCAAAAAAAAGATTGATGATTGCAGTACAGTGAAAACTATCTGAATCTCTTTATGGAACTGCAGAAGTCACCTGGAGATATGGTATCAAGCTATTTTTGGGGTTCTGGAAAAAAGGGCATGTCAGATCAAGTTTAGCCTATATGGTTCCCAAACTTGGCAACTTTAAGACTCATGGACTTCAACTCCCAGAATTCTCCAGCCAGCACAGCTGACTGAGGAATTCAAGGAATTGAAATCAGAAGTCTTAAAGCTGCCAAGTTTGGGGACCCCTGCTATAATAGATCAAATGGGGTGGAGGGTGGGGGTGGGGAGCAGAGAAGGAAGAAAGGATTTTCATGCAAATAGAACTTTAAGCTACGGTATTCAAAAGTTATCAAACCAAATGTAAAACTTCTCTGGTCAAAACTAGATCATCTGAAGTCATATAATTCCAAAGGTGAGCTGTTCTACCTACCGTATTTACCGGCGTATAAGATGACTTTTTTGCCCTGAAAAACATGCCTCCAATTGGGGGGGTCGTCTTATATGCCGGGTCGTCTTATACGCCGGCAAATAGTAATTGGGAAGCACTGCGGCTGCCCGCGGCTGAGGCACTTTTGCGGACTGCGGAAACGAATCCCGTGAAGCCGAAAGGAGCAGCCAGCCTTCTCCC